CTGGTGTTCATGTCGATCTTCGTGGTGCCAGTGCGGGTGTTGGGCATCATTATGTGCCTGTTGATAGCCTACATACTGGCGTCTGCTGGCCTGTGGGGGCTCTCCCGGGAGGACCTTGCTGCCAGACCCATGAACGGCTGGCGTCGGTAAGTCAATCAACGCTCTCACCCTACTCTCCTGCTGGGGGAGGGCTCTTCATCCAAGGAATTTAGCCAGCCTCTCTCTTACTCGGATTAAACCTGATTACCTCCCACAGACCCTTCGTTTTCCTTCACACACCCATCAAAAAGGGATATTTTGATGCTGTTGAAGCTACTCTCCTTCCTCTAATGATTACCCCAGATAACAAAATATCAGTTAAAAGGGGGGGGTACTGTCCCGGGGGGTTGAGCCTAAACCCTCATTTAATGCTAAACCTCGGAACCCGGGCCCCATGTTATAGAATTTTTTCTACCTAATGTTACAAATGTTCCCCTCCTTGGAACATTACAGTTCCTGTGTTTTGCGCTTCTTGAATTTAAAAATTTTGTGTTTACTTTTAAATGCGTTCCCGGGGCCCGGGGGGTTTTAAAGCCTCTCCGCTTAACGGGGGGGGCCCGGTTTCACCCCAAGGGGTTAAAAACTTGGGGGGGCTTTCACCGGTTGCAGTTCTCCATCGTTAAAAGGGGACCTGGGGTTTGTTTTTTGCATCTAAAAGATTTTCCCCCGGAAATTCTCTCATAAACCTTTTAAAATTTATAGTTTAATTGATGTCGCAGGCTGTAAACCTTGTTACATTTGCAAAAATAAAGATGTATTTATTATTTTTTATTATTTTATATTATAAATTATATTAAGTTCGTAATTTTGCTTTCATTATAAAAACCTTGTGTTATTCCCTTTAAGTTTTTTGGTCCCTTTGGATGTTTTGGTCTCAACTTTGGCTTAAACGCCAAGGGCACACCCCCAGTTAAAACTGGGCCTTAAGGTGTAACAAAAAGAAAGTTTTTTGTTTGGGTTTTTAAACCGGACAAAATTTTTTCCCCGGGGTTTTTTATTTTTTTTCCTTTTTTTTTTTTTTTTTATTTTTTTTTTGGGTTTTTAAAAAAAAAAAATTTTTTTTTTTTTAAAAATTTTTTTTTTTTTTTTTTTTTTTTTTTTTTTTTTTTAATTTTTTTACCAAAAATTTTTTTTTTTTTTTTTTTTTAAATTTTTTTTTTTTTTTTTTTTTTTTTAGCCCCCCAGGATATTTTTAAGGAAAAGTCAATGCGTCGGGGAAAATGATTTTCTTAATTTCCCAGGGGTCCCAAATTTTTGTTAGGAGACCACACGTAGGCTAAACCCAAAGGGCAGGGCCCCCTTTAAGGGCCTAAAGTTTTCTGGGCCGGGATTGAACCGGACATCAGTGGGGGGGGGAGGTGTTAAAAAAAAAAAAAAAAAAAAAAATTTTTTTAAAATTTTTAAAAAAAAAAAATTATCCCTAAAAAAAAACCTAAAATTTAAAAAAAAAAAAAAAAATAAAAAAAAAAAAAAAAAAATAAAAATAGGGTTTCAAAATTTAAAAAATAAAAAAAAACCCCAAAAAAAAAAAAAAACAAAAAATAAAAAAAAAAAACTTATAAAAAACCCCCCCAAAAATTTAAAAAGCAGGAAGAGGCAGCCGTTTCAAGGTGGTGGTGATGGTGCATTCCCAAGGTGTGGTAAATTCCATTTTTTTACGTGCATGGATTCTTAGCCTCTGCTCCCTTGAAAGATTTTTTTAGTTAATTTATAGCGCAAACCGTGTGTTCGACACAAAAAATTTGGTTTGGGGAGGCTTTACCCTCCGGCTGCTACTTTCTCTCAAGGAGGGGCTGCACGCTACTAGCTTTCCCGCCCTTACCTGCAGGGAAAAAAATTCTTGTTTCTAGGCTGCCCCCCATGTGGTTTTACTAATTTCGGAACAAAGGTAAAAAATTTACGGGAAACCCTGAACCCCCCTTTTCAAGTCCCGGTTACCAGTTGTCAAAAAGGGGAAGTCTGTCCTGGGCCCGGACTGCGGGGGTGAAAAAACCCTCGGGTCATTACTATAGTAAACCCTTTTTATTTTTCAGATATTAATTTTTCCCCGGTAAGCAGTGTTTGTTCCTTGATAACATTTCATTCAACTGCCCTTGTTGTAATAGGTGTTCTGAGATTTGCGAGTTTAAGGTAAGTAATAACCCCAAACTCTGATAGAAGGAAATTTTTAAAGCTGCCGTAATTTCCCGAACCCAAAATGGAATTTTTGACGATTCCTTATCCCCTTATGAGGTCTCCCAGTCGGGTGGCAATTTGCTGAAATTTTTTAAACCCTTTTAATATTCCCCAGAAGTGGATTTTTTAAAAAGCCAATGTATAAAAAACTCGACTTGATGAAAGTATTCAAGGGTTTGGGGGTAAAAGGTACCAGTGCATCTAATAAAAAAATTTGTTGAACTTCCTTCGTGAAAAGGGTGGTTAGCTAAATGTAATTCTTGCCTTTCTACAATATTTTTTTGAGCAGGTTGAAAAGGATATATATTTTTATATTATATATACAGAGAGTTATATATCGTGTATTATATTGAAATTTTTCTTCTTCCCCTTATTTTAAAGATTACGTATCCTTGATGGTGGTTAAGGGTATCATGCACCCTTAAAAAACTCTCTTTTTTAAGCTTTAGACCAATAATAATGTAGAACGGTATATCACAATGCGGTTATAGGTTTTTTTTTTAAATGTCAACCACTATTCTGGCCCTTAAAAACTTCTCACGTCGGGTTTAAAAAGATGAAAAATAGACGTGTTTCAGTTTCTTTTATATGTGAACTTTGGCATTTCTACCTTTTGTTCATCTGGTCCTTTGTTTATTTACTTTTGTTCTTTGGGAAAACCTTTTTTTTGTCTTTTTCTCCCTTTTGTTCTTGTGTGTACCCTTGTTTTGTTTTTTTCTATCTTTTTTTCTTTGTGTATCCTTTTTTAGTCGTTTCTACTTTTTTTTTTTATCGTGTATACCTTTGTTTAGTCGTTTCAAACTTTTTTTTCTGTGTGTACCTTTTTTGTGTTTCTTTCTTATCCTGTAAACCTCTTTTTTAGTGTGTGTACCTTTTTAGTTTGGGGTGTACATCTTTTGTGTGTGTACACACACCAGTTGGAATATTTTTTTGGCATTACAAGATTAAAAATTTTAGTATAATTTTCCCCTGGACCTTTTTCTTTCTTTTTTTTTATTTAATTTTATTCAGTTTTAATTCAAGTTCCATTTTTTTTTATTACAAATTTGGTTTTAAATTTTTCCTGCAAATAATCCTCAGTGTTAAAGTGAAAAGGGTGTATATTTATTTAATTTCAAAATTCGTTTGTGATTGAGGATTGTAATTGAAGAATTTTTTGAAATTGAAGAATTGTTTGGAATTGAAGAAATTTTTTGGAATTTTCCCGGTTTTTCGTTTTAATTGAAGTTTAAAGTTTAAAGGCCTGGGGCCCTGGCCCGGGGTTCCGGGGGTAGAAAGATCGAAACTCGTCAATGGTAGAGATAAGGGAAGACAATGGTATAGCACCCTCTGGAGAGATTGGGGCTCACGGTGTTGAGATACCCTAAAAAAAACTCAGATTTTTTTTAGTCACACCGCAAAATTCCAGGATATGTTTTTGAGTAGAGACTAGTGTTGAATGTTGTCTTCAGACAGGGTTGAATGTTGTCTTCAGACAGGGGTTGAAAGTTGTCTTTTAGACAGGTGTTGATGGGTTTTCTCAGACAGGTGTTTAAGTTGTTTCGACAGGTGTTTTAAAGTTGTCTTCAGAAGGTGTTTAAGGTGTCTTCAGAAGGTGTTGAATGTGTCTTCAGACAGGTGTTGAATGTTGTCTTCAGACAGGTGTTGAATGTTGTCTTCAGAAGGGTTTAATGTTTGTCTTCAGACAGGTGTTTAAAGGTTTCTTCAGACAGGTGTTGAAGTTGTCTTTTAGACAGGGTTGAAAAGTTTTTCTTCGAAGGTGTTTAAGGTTTTTCTTCGAAGGGGTTGAAATGTTTTTTTTCAGACGGTGCTGAAGGTTGTCTTTTTTGAAGGTGTTGGTATTGTCTTCAGCAGGGTTGAATGTTTTCTTCGGGCAGGGGGAAGGTTGTCTTCAGACAGGTGTTGGATATTGTCTTCAGAAGGGGTTGAATGTTGTCTTCAGACAGGTGCTGAAGGTTGTCTTCGAAGGTGTTTAAGGTTGTCTTCGACGGGGTTGAAAGGGTTTTCTTAGACAGGGGGTTGAAGGTTTTCTTCAGACAGGTGCTGAAGGGTTGTCTTCAGACAGGTGTTTAAGGGTTTCTTAGCAGGTGTGGAAAGGTTTTTTCGAAAAGGTGTTGAATGTTGTCTTCAGACGGTGTTGTGTTGTCTTCAGAAGGTGTTTAAGGCTGTTTCAGACAGGGTTGAAGGTGTCTTCAAACGGCGGGGTCGAAAAAAAATGGGCTTTATTTATCGGGGAAAATTTACCGCCCAGATAGCAATAAGTAGAGCACTTATTAACACGTGTCGTCTTTTAATTAGTTACACCCTGCGAGCGTTAAACTATGGTACGTTGATTTCACTGTTTTCATGTCGTGTTTATCTGGTTGGTTAAAGAGAGCCTTTTAATTTTTGGTTAATTGCACTTAAAGGGGTTTTTTTTTAACCCCCAAGCCCAAACGCTCGGTTGGTAGCGTACTTAGCTCAACATTGAGTGTTATGGTTTGATTCCGGTACGGGTGAAAAAAAGGCGTGTTTCCCTTTCACCTGTGTCCCGTTAACCTAGCGCAAGTAGGTTCCTGGGTGTTAGCCCACTGATATCGGTGGCATCCTGGGGGGACGATTGCCTAAAAAGCCCAAATTTTTGCATAACAGGGGCTTCGTTTGTTGTCATTGATGTCAGCTGGCTTGTAAGTTGATTGTGCTTGTAGAAATAAAGAATATTATTATTATTTTATTATTATTATTATTTTTATTATTATTTTTTTATTATTATTTATTATTATTTTTGGTGGTCCCCGGGTGCTGCACAACCCGCAACAGCCAGGTGATCAAAGGACTGTCCCAGAGGGGTGCTGCAAGGAACGAAAGCTCCAGAAACGGTTCACAGTGAATACGGGTAAGACTAATAATGTTTGGTAGAATTACCGTCAATATCTTAGAAGGGCCGTGTGCA